TAATTAGAACTTTATTTTATAAGCCATAAATCTGATAGATGAGCCACAAATCAGAAAATAAAAAATACAGTAACTATATAAAGTTCTATTTAGGAATCATATTGAACCAAAGTAAATAAAAATAAGTGAAAGAGTAATAGAGGTAGGTTGGGAAGCAAGGGATGGTAGAGAGGTGAAATGAGAAAAAAATGCAGAAGTATATTAATAAAGAGAGAGTTTTGATTTATACATCTATCCCAACATCTCCTTAGAACCTTACAAAAGAATCATGCAAATAAACCAGTAGTAACACATAAATAAAACTTTTCTAATGCTGCTAGCATACAGCCTGCATCAATAGCTGAGGAGTTCTAATTCACTCCAAAAGACAGTGGCTATACAAACATAACAGCCTGATTACAATATATCCCACAATATTCAGGTGTTTAGGGGACTATTCTCTCCAGTTACTGCTTTCTGATACAAATCCATCTTAAAAGTTAATTTCTCACATAAAAATCACAGAACTTATAATTTTATTTTTTAGAGATCCTTACATTTTATATATTAAGTTTTATATCCCAACAATAAAAAAGAATACTTCTCTTTGTTGATGACACTGGTTCAATGAAAACTACATAGTTCAGATTACAAAGATTGAGACACATTACAACTTGAAATGAAAGACAAGGAAAAAAAATCCTCTTTCTTTTAGTCATTTTTCTGCTCAGTAACAGATATCTATCTTTTTATTTTTCCAGTGTCATTTGCCCTCATAATTAAAAATAGATGAATGCTTCAAAGCAGAGTATTTTGTAATTAAGCATTTGAATACAAATGGTACATTCACTCTTGTGTTACATGTAACCTATTCTATTTATTTTCATCTAAGAAGGATGTGTGATTTTTTTTATTTGTTTGCAAGAATGTTGAAGGAAAGCCAGTCTTTGAATGCATTTATTATTTTATATTTACATAGGCATCCTTTACATAGGAAATCACATTGGCTTGTCAAGCTCAGCTTTACTGCTAACCCAGATAAAAGCTCAAAAATCTTTCAAAGAGTAACTCTTAAAAAATTTGAGGTGTCTTTTAGATTGCATAGACTAAAACAAATCTGAACAAATAGCTAAACTTTCCTATGGTTGACATAGTCAAAATTATCCTTGTTTATACTCTTACAGCAAGTGCTGTACAGTTTTCTTAGTACTATATTTGAGAACAAAGAAAAACCAAGTGTTTTCCATGGTCAAATAAAGAAAAATGTGGAGAAACGCCTATAATGAAATGACAATATGTTCCATAGTCAGTGTATTGCTACTATAATGAATGAATATAGCGGTTGAATTTATTTAAATAAACCATTCCCAAGTAGACTTTTTGTCAAAAAGGACATGGAAAAATAATTGTTTCTGACGTCTACAGCCATGTCAATAAGCATTTCCAAAAATGACATTTGGTATGGATTTAGTTAGACTATCAGAGTAAAATAGTTGTGAAATAACATGTTCCTAACAATTTGCACTTATTGTACTGTGTGAAAGAGTAAATAGCGACGCGGCAAAAAGAGCCGGAGAATGCCACTTCCTGAGCTATTACCATATTAGGTTAGAAGCTGCGGGAAAAGAAAAGAAAAAAAAGAGGAGAAGGGAATTTCAGACAGAAAGAAAGAAAGGAGAAAGTGAGGGAGAAAGAAGTTCTCCAGGAAATAAGACACTTACCTCAGGATTTTTCTCGCCACTGGAGAGAGTGGAGCTCTGAGAAAAAGGGGCAGATCCCTAAAGAGGCACCGGAGACGTGGCTGGCAGCCCGCTGAAAAGTAAACAAACAAACAAAAAAGAGAAGAGTGAATTGACTCACTCCCACAAGCTTAGTGAAAACAACTGAGTGCTGACCACAAAGAGTCAAGGCTTCAGGCACGCACCAGATGAAAGGTACACACTCAGGATAGCAAAAGTAAAAAGGGAGAAATAACAAGGCTTGAAGAGAAAAGCCTGCTCTAAAAAAAAAAAGGAAATAAACAGACAAACCAGAGTTAAAGGGACTTTGTTTATTAACACCAAGTCCAGTCCAACCAAACTGATAAAGGTTAAATAAGAACAGTATGTAGATAGAATTACAAAGTTGATATAATTGTTAAAAAAAAGGACCACTTCTGTTTAAAGATAACAAAAGTTTGTATAGTGTTATAAAGAATAAAGATAAAGACAAGTCTTAATCTGCATCTGATTGTGAATATATATATCAGGGAGTATGTGGGAATAATTGAGTGAAGTTTTCCTCTATAATACCGGGATTCCTAATAGAGACACCCAAAGAGCAAAATAAAACAACAAATATATATATATAACAACCCTCCCGACAAGTGACATCATAAAGCAGAATATATTATAATAACATCCAAGACGTGGCAGGCGGGAAAGTCAGGGTACTTACAGCAGCTTGGGAGATTATAAAAGGACACAGAGAGGTATCTACCATCACATACTGAAAGTCAGGTTATAGGGATGGCTGCATATGTTTTGAAAGTATGTTGTTGATGGTTTTTGCCTGCTAAATTTAAAATGGGGCTCTTGAATATATTTTAGTATTCTTCATTCAAAATCTAATTTTACTTTTCAGTTGTATACCATTTAACTCATTGTTAGATGCTCAATGTATAAATATGAAAAACATGAGTCTAGAATTGTGAAACCATAATAAAAATTAGACAGGTTTTATTAAATTAATCCACAAAGTATATCACACATAGCAATACCAAAAAAAGTAACTTGTGCTGGTTTTGTGCAAAAACTGATGGAGGAAGCAGTCTTTCCTGGTTAGTTCAGATAAATTTGATTTTTTTGCAATAAGCAAAAGATAGTTTAGGCATTGGGGAAATGAAACCTAGTTAGCATGGAGAGAGTAAAAAATAGAATTTAACTTGCTGGGAAATGATTTTTACACAAAAACTACTTGTAACTAGGGCAGTTGTGGATGGAGATAAGAATTAAACCAGTCACAAATGTATTTAGTTTTTAACTTAAATGAATTATCTCTAAAGGCAGCTGGTCCTGAGAGAAGCTCAGGTAACAGAAAAGAACAAGAATATGACTGGTTCCCCAGAGCCATCATTTCAAGGTTTACTCTGGATTTTTGTTAGCCAAACCAAAGCTTATAAGAAGTGGGACTTAACCAATGGCAACTGCCCACAAAAAGGAAACCAGTCACTGGCTGGAAGTCTTCACAGTAATATATACCTGATGTCCTATCTTGGAATTGAGAGATGTTTACTAAGGACCACTCCCATTATGGGCATGGTCTAGGACTATCTTCCACCTACAGGTATCCTTTTCTCGACCACAGAGTCAAACTATTCAGAAAAGAACACAGTGAACCTCTACCCTTATTGTAGAATTCCTGATGCCTGCAATTCATGAAGTTTTATAATTTTAAGTTGTGCTACAGTATTTTTAGGAAACAAAATTATGAAGTTTCACACATACTATTTAGTTTATTTTTTATGTATTTAGTAATGAATAGGTCTAAATATGAAAAAGACCTGCATGCTTTCTAGCTTTTACTTGCTATATGCCAGTAAATTTTTTGCTGAAAGAATCACTTTGCATTTATGCTAGGGGAAAGTAGAAGAGAATTAGGGCCAATGTATATAAATTACCACTTTATATATTTCAAGTTATGCACTTTGCTTAGAGATATAGTAATGATAAAGCTTTTGAGTGTTTTTATCAATTTACATATCTTTTCCAAAGCTCAATTTTCTGTGTGATGAACATTTTAACTATTCTAAAGTTGCCACTTTTGAGCTGACTTAAGTTCACTTTTATGGAACAGCTCCTCCTCCAGATGACTTTTGTAGTGCGTATATATTCTGAGGCTATCATTTCCACCAATACAGTTGGCTGGAAACTTTTTGACAACCCTTTTTTTCCCATCAGAGTTCCATGTCACCAAAAACCAAAACCCTTGGAAAATCCATATAACTTTCAATGACTGTTTTGATAGAACAGATTTATAGGTATCCTGTAGATTTTCTGCACCAGGGAGAGAGATGACTATTTCTATCCAAAAATGGTACGATCCAGTTTGAAGACTGTATTGAAGAGGTTTGAAGAGATTTTCATTGCAGGAAAAAAAAATAAGGATTTTAAAAACTCAAAACTCGTTGTCTTCCAGTCCACTGTATTCTCTAGAGCTGTTCAGAAATGTTATGGCTATTTTTAAAAATTTGTGCTTGCATATGCCCATTTGTAATACTGGAATATTTCTTGGGAATATTTTAATTTTGTTAAATCTTTCAACAGAATCTTTAGAAACCTGTCTGATTTTTTACCAGCTTGCTCTTCAAGAGGGCTGTCACAAACACAGGATCCTGAAAGCCATGTCTTGAGCCATGGGCTGAGCCAAGCCTGGAGCCAATGGCTCACAGGGCTTTAAGCTCCATGCTGTCCAGCACACAATCTGGCAGCCTGGGAAAAACTAGAAGCCCCAGCTTGAGCCAGAACTGTCATGATTTGTATCCTTCCTGAGGGTGGCATTCTAATTCCTTTTAGTCATCCAAGTGGCAATTTTTACTTGCATAAGTGGCATTTTTGGTGATTATGTGCAAGCAGGAATTATATTCCTGGATGCATAACCCTGCACATGTAGGGAACAATGTACATACATACCTGAATGCAAGTCTCAGAAACAAAATGGATAGGAAGGAAGGCTCCCTGATGTATTTTATCAACAATAGCTGAATAGTTAGGACACTACCTGAGAAGACAGAGATGCAGGCTTTTGTCCCAAGTCACTCAGAGAGGACTTGAATCTTCATTTTTTCAGACTTCCTAGCATGGCTCTCTAATCACCAAGCATGTACAGACTCCTCTAGCACTCCTTTTGAAATTAAGTCACTTTTCCTTTAACCTAATTGTAACTGGAAAAAAAGGACAGCTAGTACCATGGGGCATTTTCTGCACCACTAAGGGCAAGGCTCCAAGTTAATAATTTCTCCTGCTTTCTCCTCCTAGTCAAAGCCAGCAGCCATCCCACTGATCTGCACACTTTTTGGCTTGTTCTCATTATTCTAGACTCTCTAGCTCTTTTTCCTAGCTATTCAATATGACAGCTTCAAAAATAGTATATATTTTTTTCAGTTTTAAAGTTTTGACTAAGATTCCAGCATTTGACTTCTTATGGAAGCTCAATAAATAAAGTAATAATGTTTTCTTAATTTAATGTGCATTTCTATACCATTAAGTCAGAAGGTGTTTTCTATATTAAACCGTGTAAAAATAGGAGCTTCAGCTTGAATTATGTATTTGTGGGGAGGTAAGAGACAAATTCTATTAAATCAATTATTTGATACTTGATAGTCTAAGTTACTTGATATCAAGTAGTATAGTTTACTTTCCCTGTTATAGATATTTCTCTCATAAAATAAAGGATTTTATACCTTTATGACCCTTTTTTTTGTGGAAATACATTTTTTTCTTTCTTTACAAAAAATTACGCAAGAAATATTCTTGTACAAAACCATTTTTAAATCAATATTCTTTGCATGGTCTTAATTTTCTATCATTATATAGAAACTAACCAGTAATAAACTTAAGCTTCTCAAAAGCCATTTGAATGTTTTCTGTTCATAATGAGGAAAAAAATCCAGAAGTAAGGTGAAAGGATTATTTTTAATGTGCCCTATTGTAACTTGAAGATGAGAGAGCTATGCAATACCTAGTCGAAATAAGATGAAAGAGGGATCAACATTTAGCCTTAACATTTTTGTGTGCTTTTGTGTATTAAATTCAGGTTCATAATATCATGTATGTTTAGTTTTGAAGGATTATTTTTCTTTCTGCTTTCAAAGGGGGCTTTAAAAAAGATTGCATAATATGAAATATAAATTGATCACACCTACTGACTGTCTGGATAGTTGGTAATAATTTAGTAAACAGTTCCAACATATTTTAATGTATTTGTGTGTGGAGGGCAGGAAATTAAGGGTCAAATTACATTCCACTGAGTGGACAAGTCAAGTGCAGCTTGGGACTAACTGAATTATTTGAGGATAGGTATGAGATTCTATGATACCCTTAGGTGCAAAAGTACCCTAATGGGAGGAATAAGATCACCCTCTGGAAACCGAGTTGTCTTCCCATTCCTAGCATTAGATCACTTCCGTGGCCAGCGTGGGTAATCACCCCTACACTTTAGTCAGGTAACTCAGAGTTGGTGAAATGCTGAACTTTGGATGTCAACTCCCCCTCTACACATGCAAGTAAATGAGCAATGGGATCTAATGCACAATCCACACAATTGCGCCTCCTACCATGCCACACATGCATGGCAGGAGGCATGATTGTGGGTTTGCACATTAGATCCTATCACATCTTATTGCCAGTTCAGGGGGAATGCAGTGCCAAGAAGTAAGCTCCCATTGCTTGGAGCCCACTAAATTGAGGGGTTCCCAGCCCTGGGGGCACCCCACACACAACCAGGCTGGGGGGTCATGGCAGCCTTAGTCGCTCAGGCTCAAGGAACAGGGGAGCCTGAAACCCCCTGGGCCTGAAGGTCACAGAAGCTATGATCCCCTACACCCAGGGGTGGGCATGGTGTATCCTTGGGCTGGGAGTCTTGTTAACTGATGGGACTCTTAACCACAGGGGAGACTCTGTTACATGTGCAACTTAAAACTTGATAGCAACCAGCTATAAAATTAGTACATATTTTTGAGGTCTAACTTTATAGCTGTTTGGAGTTTTTATTGTGTAATAAATACTTTGCATGTGTAGCTGGTCTTAAGATAATTGCACAATTAACTAGTTAATTGTGTGATCCCTGTAACATGTAGAGGGAGACGAGGTGAAATAGAATTCTGCCTTAAGTGTATAACTGTGTGGTATGAAAGTATTATTAGTTTGGGTTTGGTAAAGATGAATTTTTCTCAAAGAATCAATGCTGGTTAATCCAAAAGGCATAATAGGAACATTTTAATATCACATCACTACTTTGTGTCTTGATTTTTCTCAAAACCTATTTCAGAAATAATGTAATTATAAATCATTGTAAAAGCTAGCAATAATAATGCACATTATATGTACACACACACATATAGGTACATTATTTTAATACTTTATTGGATAACCCTTTTTGTTGGACCCTGTTCTTCCATCTTTCTTTTCTCGTGGGCTGTTGGGACTGCAGTAACAGTGTTTACTGTGCAGTGATTTAGAACTTGCTAAAGTACTTGCTAACAACTGCACAGTTGGGTGCATGTATACACAGGCTCCTTCTGATCCTAGAGCTGCCAAGATGGCTGCAACTTTTCTCTGGGTCTACAAAAAGAAGAAATGGAGTCTAGTATCCAGCTGCTGGTGAAGCAGTAACTTTTGGCTGATGAGCCACCAAGCTGGCTCAGGGTGAGTGACCTGCTGTATACTGGGCACATCTACATGAAACTTTACTGTGGTGTAGACTAATTAGCTCAGCATTAAACATCTTGCATCTACATATGAGGCCCTGCTAGACTGCAGGAAACTAATAAATCCTGCAGCAGGGTAATACTTGCAAATGCAAGTACTATCCTGGTGTGGAGTTTTTTTTATTCTTCAGCACCAAATGTGTAGATGGCATGCTGTTGCAGCTGACTGGGGCATGAGGGTGCTTCAGTGTGGGGGTTGCCTGCCACACTGGAGGTTCTTCGTGCCCCAGCTAGCCCATCTGCAACATGTTGAGCCAGGGGGAGCAGCCCCAAGCTGGGAGGCTAACCCCCTGTGCCCCCTGCCAGCTGGGGCTGCTCCGACCTGGCTCAATGTGTAAATGCAGTGCCTGGGAGCAATAAATTCTGATGTGATATGCACCAGAGTTTTTTGCTGTGCACTAACAGCACATGTGGACAAACCCACCATCTGTAGTATCTTGATGAGGGTTCTGGCATTGAAAAACATTATATTATATACTGAAGCTTATATAAAGAACTATTCACAGTAAAGAAATAGCAGTCTTGCTACCACCCTTGCAAGGATATGGGCCCTAGCCTTGTTGCTCTCCTGACACAGCAGGAAGTTCTTGCTTCCTCACCCAATGTTGTCTCCTGGGATACCACATTTCTTGGACACTTGTTTTTTTCCAGGAAGACTTACTTTATGCCATGTATGTGGTCATGACTCTGGAAAAATCTATTTTTCTATATTCTGCCTTCCAGAACCAAGGTGCAAATTTTATTTGTGGGGAAAAAGGTAAATTTATGAAAGGGGTTAATATATAACATCTTAGATTGGGGGGACTGAACTCAAGAATCCAAGGAGTTCTTTCAGTTCTTCTGTTCCTGCGCATTTAAAACTATTGAAAAAGTATAGCTTTTCTATCTTTTTCTCATCCTCATTATCATTAGGAATTGATCTGTGAATAGATGGAAAACTTCATTCTTCAGGACTGTCAGTTTAGCCCCTTTCATGAGCATTAAATTGAACTAAAAGAACAAATTGGTAAATAAAATCAAGTGATAAAAAGTATTTTTGAGTTATACTGTGAGACATAATAAAGGATTAGAAAATACTTAACATTGTGGCCTCACTCCAATGTATTCCAAAAGTACTTTAGTAGGGGGAAAACAGGATGGGAGGGAATCAAAACTCATTGATAGTATTGTATCTGAAGGAATTTTTTACAACGGGTTTATACACTCCTAAATTCCTCCATTTATAATGGCAAGACTGACAGCCCTTTAACTTAAGCACTGCCTGTGTCAGTATAAGATCTTGGAAAAGATAACAACTTAAATGATGTGAAAATAACTTTAAAAAGTAACTCCAGCTCTTCCTATCCCACAAGGGTATATACTTCCATAATTGCATTTTTGCTTAATCAAGGACTATTTAATATGAATAATTTAAGTATTCAAAAGATAAAATATGCAATTATTTTAAAATTTTCCATATATGGACTATATCCTGAACACACATATTTGTTTAATCCTGACTGTTGGTTTTGTACCTCTAACTTTTTCCTCATGATTTTGCTTTGAATAAATATAGTCTATGTTAATTCAAATAGTCATTATAGTTATAAATGGGAATAGAGGCTAAGTCCCACTCCCACTGAAGTAGATGTCAGAACTCCTATTGATTTCTGTAGGAGAAGATCAACCTTCTCTACATAATAATAATTTTTCGGGAAAGGGATATTTTTCTCTGTTACATTTTGGTAAATAAAATCAATATGAAATTTATATTCAAGCATAAGACAACTCCTTTCATTGCCTTTGTCCACTTTGGCCCAAGAACCAAGCTGTGCTCTCTCAGGCAGTATACATTTCACTGAACATTGTTAGAAGAGATGTTGAATAGCAGTAAAGAAAATGCATTTAAGAGGATGCATCCCATTTCAGAGAAGAACTGTATATGGAAAAAATAATTTCCCTCAAAGGAAAAATCCTGAAATACCCTGTTCCATACAAGGCTGTTTCAAGCCTAAAGAATAAACTGTATGTATTGAAAGGGTAGTCCAACATCATTATACATATTTAATGAATGATACTCCCCCTCTATGCAACACTGGTCAGGCTGCAGCTAGAATACTGTGTCCAGTTCTGGGTGCTGCACTTCAAGAGGGATGTGGACAACATGGAGAGGGTCCAGAGGAGGGCCACTCACATGATCAGGAGGCAGCAGGGCAGGCCCTATGAGGAGAGGCTATGGGACCTGAACCTGTTCAGCCTCCACAAGAGAAGGCTGAGGGGGAATCTAGTGGCCTGTTACAAACTAGTCAGAGAGGACCAGCAGGCATTGGGGGAATCCCTGGTCCCCCGAGCACTACCAGGAGTGACTAGAAATAATGGTAACAAGCTGGCAGAGGGTAAATTCAGATTAGACATCAGGAGGCACTACTTCACTGTCAGGGCATCTAGGATCTGGAACCAACTTCCAAGCAAAATGGTGCTGGCTCCTACCCTGGGGGTCTTTAAGACAAGGCTAGACAATCACCTTGGTGGGGTCGTTTGACCCCAGTACACTTTCCTGCCATGGCAGGGGGTCAGACTTGATGATCTGCT